TTCAGTACACAGTAGTACATGCTTCCTTTCTGTCTTCTTAACCTGGCAGGGTAGGTTTAGGCTTGAGGTTGACCCCCCCGCCCCACCCCGAAGTAAAGACCCTGCAGCTGTCCTGGCAGAATGTCAGAAATAAGTGTAGGGGCTTCCACCTGACGGGTATTGCCAAGCCCATGCTTCAGTATTTTCTTTTTTAAGCTACAAGTTTTCCCACAACTATTTTCACTCAAAGTAGACAAAATGTATAATAATCAGAAAATTGAAAGAATAGCAAATTTGTAACGTGTCTGCATAAACAATATTGTACATTCTAAAAGAACTTGTCCAGTTGCATCTTCTCTAATTCCTTTTCACTTACAGCATTGAGGGCTGGTTGTCTAGATGTCTGTTACATGTGCTTGACTCCTTTTGACTCTCAGATGTGCCCTGGGTGTGTTCATTACCAAGACATTTCCTAGAGACCATTACTAAGTAACTTTGCCTGCCTTTTTCAAGGCCAGCTGTTTATTCCAATCCACTCCTTGTTGCTCTTCTGTTAGGCTCTACTTGACCCAGAAGCAAACCTCACTTTCAGGTGGTTTTTTTTCTAATCTAATTTGATAGCAGTTACACCACGGTGTTACTTTCTCCTTATTGCTAATCATGTGACATAGGTCAAGCTTAATTCATTTTAAACATGTATAAACATTTTGCTTTGCAAGTATTTAATAAAATTCTCAAATTGCAGTCGAGGGACTAGCCTGTGGCCCAGTGCTTCAGGTGTCTGATTAGCATCATACTAGCTTCAGCCTCATGTGTTGCCCTTGAGTTTTGCCTTCTCAAACACATGTAATGCTGGAAGCCCTCTCTCTGAAGTTAACCTCTGAGCATCCTACTTTGGTATATTTCTTTTTTTTATCTCTTCTTTTTGGAGGTACAAGAATAGACATTCTTTTCCCTGACTCTCCATCAGATTCAGCTCCCTCATCTCTGGAGAGACAGGTGAGAAAGGTGGAATAGTTTCATCCATATCCTCACCATCTAGCGGGTGAACCAAGCGTTCTGCAGTTTTAGTACTTTCCTCTCAGCAGACCAGCAGTGCTGTAGCTGTACTGTGGCAACAGTCTAATTAATTAATTAGTCTTTTTCAATCCTGAGAGAGTGCAGAGCGTGGATCCTCATGGCATCCCGCCCTCTCCATTGTGCACACCAAGGGGTTTGTAATGGGCCTCCCCAAGACATGTCACCTTGGTATGTGGAGTATTTTGAGCTGAAGGCATTCAAGGCCCCATGTGTTCAAGAGAAACTTGCTTCTCCCTTAACTACCTGGAAAAACTTAGAGACCTTGCCCATAATGTATGCAAGGCAAACATCCAGTTACTGAGCATCTGTTCTTTAAAAAGTATATATTTGATACTGGCACCCCCGTGTTTACTGATGCTTTATCTACAATTGGAAAGACATGCAAACAGCCCAAGTGGATGACTGGATTGAAAAGATGTGGTACATATACACAATGGAATATTACTCAGCAATCAAAAAAGAAACACGTACCTTTTGCAGCTACATGGATGGAGCTGGAAAGGATCATGCTTAGTGAAATAAGCCAGAAAGAAAAGTAAAAATACCAGATAGTTTCTCTCATAGCAGGAATATAATGGACCAGGCGAGAAAATAATGATAATGATGAACAGCTATAGACCAGAGACATTTTGTGGGGGTGGAGTGGGGAATGGGATCCAAAGCAGTGGGGGGAGGGAAATGCACTGGACTATGGTGATGGCACATGAGTGATCTGGTGATGGAAAGCCCATGGGGATTGCAACTGAGATGGAAAAATGCACAAAATGATGTAAAAATAAATTTTAAAAGTATATATTTATGCGTACAAGAACTGGGGTACAGGCCAGAGGTGCTGGGGGTGAGGGGATTTACCAGAGACAGTGGGGAGCAGAACAGATGGACTGACTGAAATACACTGCTGAGGAAGCAGTGGGTAAGACAGGAGAGGTCTGCCGTACCATGTGGGTCTGCTTCCTGGCCAGTGGTGGAACTCAGACTGCAGTGGTTGTGGAGAGCCTCAGGTGAATTCCAGTGCAGGCCAGTCTCAGCCTCGCCCCCCGCCCCTGCTGTTTCAGTGTCACGCAGGGGTAGCAGACGGCTGCCAGGCTCATACCCAGTTTCTAGATCTCAGACTTTGGACAAGTCACTTGATTTTTCCTGCCTCTTTGCTCACTAAGTGGAAGTGATAATAGCACCCCCATTCTACATGTGCAAAGAATTAGGTGTTGACAGAGAAAGGCTAGGAAAATGCTAATAAGTGGTTTCTGTTCTGTCCATTGCTGAAGGCTTGGGCAATCCCCACCCAAAGGCCCTTGGGTGGAGGCCCTTCTGATTCTATGGAGAACCTGCTCTGCACCTCACCAGGGTCTCACTTTCAGTTTATCATTTTCACTCCAGCAGGGTAAGGGGAAACAGCCTATTACGTTCCAAGGTGACAGAACTGGCGCCAAAAGGATCACACAGCCAGCAAGTGACCAGCCTGGGGCCAGGCCAGGCCGGTCTGCCTCCAAAACTAGGTTAAAGTAAAGGCCAACCTGGGTGAAACCCACCTGCTGCCTCCTGGGTCTTGCAAGTGGTCCTGAGACTCCTGGTGTAAGGACCCCACAATGGGCTGTGGATACCTGCATGACAACAAGGTCACCCCTCCTTTTGCGCTGTTTCGTGTCCTAGCTCAACTATTGCTTTGAGTCTGAAAGATGAAGACCACCTGCCACAGGTCCTCGTCCCATCCTTTAGGAGTTGGTGATGTTCAACGTTCGTGTGGTGGATTCAGGCCAGTGGTGGGCAAGGAATGAACAAGGCAGGAGGGCAAGAGGGATACACAAAGCTTGGCATTTCTTCAGCAAGGAATCACTGGAGAGCATGACTGCCCATGTGTGACTGCTTAGCTTGCCGGGCACAAGTCTTCTCTCCAGGCCCCTTCCTTCACTCCACTTCCATCTCCCACCCTGCTTTTCCTTGCTCCAGGGAACCTGAGCCCCTTCAGGGCTTGGGCACAGGGTGAGGCTCCTTGACTCCCAACAGACTGTGTAGGCCCAGGTCCCTTAGCAAACTAGGGGGCACGCAGGGGTGGGGGGGGTGTTCACTGGTGGCCTGGGGTGAAGTCTCAGCACTATCACCACTACTGCCCGAGTTCAAACCCCATTCAGGGAGCTGACCCACATGGCCCAACAGACCTTGCCTGTCTTTCCCGCTGCTCCCTCTGGCCTATACCCCAGTTCTTCTACACAAAAGTAAAATCCTAAGAAAACAAATAAGGAAATTGGGGTCACAGGATGGGGCATTGAGAGCTGGAAGAGGCCATGGACAGCTAGTCCTATGTGACAGAGAAACCCAAATCACACGAAGGGAGTCCCACAGCCTGCTGACCCGGTTGCTCTTCACACGCTTCCTATGGCTTCCAGGTAAGAGTTCATGAACAGCAGCAAGCTCAGCAGAGCCTGGCCTAGGAGCAGGCAGGCAGCATAGGAGGGAAGCTGCTTCTCCTCACCTACTGGCCCCAGGACCGCCACCATCCTGTCCTCAACCTTCTTGGCCCTCTTCCTTCTGGCCTAAGAGGCTGCTGTACTACCAGCTTGCCTGGGAGTGAAGGAATTCCCTCCTGGCACCCGGGGCTTTCTCTCCCCTCATCTGATGGGACCCACTGCCCCCAGACCTGAACTCCTGGCTCTGCATGGGAGAACTTAGGTCATTCTGAGCCTCGGTTTCCCCCTGAACACCTCTAAATTTCTTTCTTGTATCTTCCCTGTTGCCTCCTAGTTGGTCTGAACTACTAGTTCTCCACAAAGGACCATGAGGAGGAGGATTATGTTAGGGTTTTGGTCCTGAGTCTGGTATGTAGGGGGTCGGGGAGAAATGGAAGACTGAGAGCCCCCTGCTAAGAGCCAGCTCCCTCCCTGGGGCAGTTCTAGGACTGCTCTACTTCCAAGCCCCCTGCTGCTGGCGGTACCCACCTCCACCCCCTGCATGCTCTCTTGGGGTACCCACGGGGAAGAACTGTGTACATGAACCCCCAGGGCCTGGAGGGAACACACAAGTTTTTTGTTTCTGGTTTAATAAGCCCCCTTACCAAGTACAGGAAGCTTGGGGGTGGGGTGAGGGGGTACCAGAAATGGAAGCAGAGCTGTGCGCTGTTGGAGACCACACTTGCTTCCTGTTGGTATCGTCTTGTCCCCGCCCAAGAAAGCTGGTGGGGAGGTCAGCTGCCTGGGCTCAGGCATGAGCTTGCCGTGGGGCTCTATTCTGAGCCTCTCCCAGCATCCTCCTCTCCAGCTTTCTGTGTAATGTGCCCAAGCCCTGTCCAGTTGTGGTAGCCAGGCCCCTGGACCTCTAATGTGCCAGCCCACAGATGGACCCAGGCCGCACTCATCCCTCTATGGCGGCCCTGCGCAGAGGGTACCGCGGGAGGTCAGGTGAGTTTTGTCCCTCTCTGTAAGTGGGCAGGATCAGTTCTCAGCACGCTGTCTCCCCACCCCAGTCTCAGGGCTAGCACTCAGAGGCCCTCAGTTCCATGATGCAGGAAGGCTGAGGCGGAGGTGGGGGGACATCACCCTTAACTGTGGATTCTGCAGGGCGCGTGCTGGGCCCCCCTGCTGAGGGAAGGCTCTGGCCTGGGCTGACCATCTTATGGCCTTTCCATTCACTTAATCCCAGCCTGAGCATTTGCACTGGTTCTCTGGGGGCCAGGGGAACCTCCTGGGTTTCCATCACCCCTCATCCCATGGACTGGGAGCGTGGTCTTTCAGGCAGCAATGGGGGTGGCAGTCACCTGGTGCAGCAGGCCTGGGACTGAAGCCCCGACCCAGCCGCCACAGAGCCCCAGGTGGAGGCAGCCGTGGAGGCCTGGGATGTGCTGCCCTCAGGTTCGGGCTCAAAGTCCAGGCCCTCATAGATGGTGGGGAGGGAGGTGCGCTGGCTCAGCCGCCGTCTCAGGCCAGCCAGCAGGGGCTGGGGCAGGGTGGCCACATCCACATTGTTGCCCAGGTCCACCCAGGCCAGTGTGGGGAACTTGGCGGTGTCCCTGACAGCCTCGGTGAGTTCGTGGGCGGTGGCCCGCGTCAGGCGGTTGCCGTTGAGCAGGAGCTGGCTGAGGCAGGGCAGTGTCCAGAGGCTGGGCAGCAGCAGGCGCAGCAGCTCATCGCTCAGCTCCGTGAAGCTCAGGTCCAGCACCTCGAGCCCCGCGCCGTGGCTGCCCAGGTAGCGCGTTATGAGCTGTACATCCCTCACCGACAGCCGAGTCCCTGAAAGGTTCACCGTCTCCCCTGCCAGTGGAGTCTTCTCAAGGCTGCTCTTGAGCCTGCGGGCGGGTGGCGGGTGGAGAGATCTGTCGCGAGTGAGGCCCACCGCCGTGCAGGCCCCACGGGCCACACACAGTGGCCCAGTGAGGCAGCCCGGGGGCCCAGGCTCCAAACTGCTGGGTCAAGCTGGGATCAGATTGCCAGCTTCTAAATGGGTGGCCGGGCCCTCCCTGGTGGCGCGGTGGGTTAAAGCACAGCACTGAGGAGCGCAAAAGCCACTGCAGCATGAGTTCGATCCCCGCCTGCCCCAGAGGTGACCCACATGGCATGCCGGACCTCTCCTGACCTGCCCGCTGCTCCCCTAAATGGGTGGCCAGGGGCAATGCTCAGCAGCTCTCTGAGCCCCAGTTTCCCCTTTGTTGAAATGGGGACTTGGTTATTGTGAGAATTCTCCACACATGCACTGAGGCTCCAGGGGCTGTTCTTATTAAAAAACCTACCATATGCCTGCACTGCCACACCTGTTCCACCTATTCTCTCACTTTTATGCTAAGTCAGAGGTGTAGTTATCCCATTCTACACAGATGCAAACATGCTCAGAGAGGAAATGTGAATCTTCCATGGTGACTCACCACAGCGGAAGGAGCCGGGCCTTCAAATCAAGGCACTCTGACTCCTGAGCCCACCATTTTCCCACAAGCCTCCTCTAAAGTTGATCCTTTGTGGGTAAGGACAGACATGCCTATGAAGGTGTCAGCGGATCAGCTGCCCTCTCCCACATGTCTTCTTCCTCACCCCTCGTCCCTCCCCACAGCTTTGAGGATTAGAAAGGGAATAGCCTTGGTGTAGCAAGAATGGAGGTGTGGAGGGGTGTGGAGGGGTGTGGGAGGGACCTGCTCTGGAGAAGGGCTCTGTGTTCTCAGCTGGAAGGTTAAAAATTGAAGCAGCCCCCACGCTGCCAGTCGTGGGACAGGCCAGGGAAGGAAACGGCAGGAGGCAGGAGGTAGGTCATATGGAAAGGGTGGCTTGGCTTGGGAGCACCTGCGGTCACCAGCCAGACTGGCTTCCAGGGTTGGGGGTATAAGGCAGACATGGGTGAGGGACCCAAGGCTGAGATTCCAGGTAACAGCCTCTTGAGAGAACCAAGGACTAGCCCTGCCTCTCCACGTCTGCCTGCGAAGGGACCCTAAGGCGCCAGGGCAGGGCTGTGGGGGCTCCCCTTACCAGCTCTGGGTCTTCTTCTGGGGCAGGCTGGGCCCACGCTGCCGCCTGGAGTGAGGGGTGAGGTGGTAGATGAGCTGCCGGCAGATCTTGTCGGAGGACTTCCAGAGCTCATGGTCCTGTCGGGGGTTGGGGAAAGCATGGTCAGGATGAAGCCAAGGCCTCTCGGTCTTGGAGCTCCAAGTGTGTGTGAGCACAGTCATTTACCACGGATCACTGCCCACCGGCCTCCCCTCCTGCCCCTACCCCACTGTGGCGTGGCACAAAGCCAGGGGAGGCTGTCCGCTGGGATCTGGACAGACCAAGCTGAGGCCCACAGTGTGGGCGGGAGAAAGCCCAAACAATGGGCCCTTGTTCCCTGTTCTCAGGCCTAGGGCCAGTACTTCAGGCCATCGCCGCTTCCCCACCTTCCCTCTGCACTCCCAGGGGACTCGACACAGGGGGAGGCAGGACCAGGCCCCTCCAGGGAGCCCTGCTCCACTGACGCCACCCCCAGGGAATAGGAACAAGCCAGGTCAGCATGCTCTTCTTCCTCTCACTCTAGACTGCGACTGTGGGCCCTGGGTCTGGGTGGCCAGGGCTGGGAGGGTTACCTTGCTAAAGCATTGTCACCTGGCCTTCTCCTGGGCCTGAGTCGTCCTACAGTAGCCCAGCTTGGGAGGAATACCGGGGGGGGGGGGGCGGCCTGCTTTCCACAAAGCATCCTTCCACGGCCCTGCGTGTTCTCTCTCCAATCCCTCTGTCAACATCATGCACACACAGTGGCAGCAAGCCCTGGGTGGGCTAGCCTCAGAAACCCCAGCGACAACTGCAGATAGACGTGGGAGCTCCCTGTGACTGAGGGATGGGTGCTGAGATTTATGGCAGGATGTCTGCAGGTGCCATCAAAATGGAGTTCTGGGAAGACATGCAACAGGGGTAGAGGAAGGTTGCAGGTGGTAGATGCCAACTCAGCGAAGGAGGGACTTGCTTGTGTTTGGGCTTCTGTGGGAAGCAGGGAGTTCTTGTCTCCAGGGATATCCAGGATGGGGAGTATGAGTGTGGATGACAGCTCCAGGGAGTCCTAGAAACTCAAGGCTGACCGTTTGGTTCTGTCAGTGGATTCATCAGAACATTCTGAGTCCTACAGCATCCCCATACTACTTCCTGCCTGGGTGGTGTGGCCTGGTGCACAGTGCTATCGAACAGGAAATGGGTTCACTTAATACGTGACTCGTTAGGATTGGGAGAGCACACAATCCACATGCGTTCTAGCCGCCGGCCAGCCTAATATACTGAAACTGGTATCAGGACCCAGAGAGGGACATTCACCTGGTTAAGGCATTATAGCAAATCAGATAAGAATCCAGGCCCTAGCTCCCAGTGCTGGGCTCCCCGGGCCCCGGTCAGCCACACTGGACAGCCTGCGGCCTGTCCCTACTAGCCTCACCGTCTTGGGGCACTGCAGGTCCCGGGCCAGGTTCACAAGCAGGTCATGAGAGATGGGGTCCACCAGATTGAGGAAGGGCACATTCCTGTAGAGGATGTTGGTGAGGAGGGTCCCCTCAAGGCCCAGGTCCTGTGAGGACAGTTGAGTGAACCATGGGCCAGGGCTTCCTTTCCCCAGGCCCTGTCCCAACCTGCCAGAGCTCCTCAGAACCATTCCCATTTCTTCATCTCTCTCCCCATGGCTCACTGGCATCTCCCCACGAGACACAGGGGCAACAGACCAACTGGCCATCCCAACCTCTGGAACAAAAGGGGGAAACCTAGTCGGTTTCTCAGATCAAATTCCTAGTTGGTGCCTTGGGCTCCAGCCACCACCCCAGAGATGGGTCTCTGGATGGTCTGGCTAACAGTGCCCCTCTGCTATTTGCCTTTTAAGCACAGTTTAAGCCATTCCACTAGGGGGGGATCAAGAAGGGATAGCTGGGTCCTCCCTGGTGGCACAGCGGGTTAAACTACCTGCAGCCACTGCAGCATAAGTTCGATCCCCGGCCAGGGAGCTGACCCATATGGCACAGCAGACCTCTCCTGACCTGCCCACTGCTCTCCTCAGCAGTGTATTTCAGTGGATCTGCTTGTTCTGCTCCCCACTCTGTCTCTGGTGAATCTCTCACCCCTTCACCTCTGGCCTGCACTCCAATTCTTGTGTGTATCAATAAATAAATCTTAAAAAATAAGAAGGGTGAGATGGTGGGGAGCCTCGGCTGCCCCAGCCTGTTTTTTGCTGGTCTGCATAGTTCCTCTTAAAGGAACAGCCCCACCTTTCCAAGCTGCTGGGCTGAGAAAGGACACTCAGAGCTGCAGGAGGTGTGGGGCTGGGAGACTAGAGGCTGGGTCATTGCCCAACTTCCTCTGTGACCCTGGGTTCACCACTTCTCTCCAAACCACAGTTTCCCCAGCTCCAGTCACCTACTAGCAAGCCAAAGACCTGTGCGGCTGATTTCTGCTTACAGGGTCGGGCAGGTTGTGGTAGCAGCCACTATCAGGGGGAGGGACTTGGGCAGAGAGGGAAACGGTTTGCCCAGTGGTGATGTTACACCAGAATCTGGGACCATGGTACCTGGCACATGTGGGCCCTCAGTGCCCTTGATAATCTGGATATGGAGTTATGATGTACAGGTGCCAGATGTGTGCACTCAGTGGGTCTGGTCTGCCTGTTAGGAGGCTGGTGGCGTGAGCCTTTGGCTGTCTGGGTTACTACTGTGTCACAGGGAGGTACTGCTGACCAGTGAGCAGTCACTTCCCAGGGTCCTCTCCATCTTCCAGTTCCTACCGTCACCTGGAGAGCGAGGGGCTGTCTCCTTAACATTGACCTGATGATTGTATCCCTCCAATTACTACTTCTCCCAGTCCTTCCTTTCCCGTTAAGGCCTGGCTCTGGGCCTTAGTGCCAGACTTGGGGCCCCCTCACACACCACTGACAGTAAACCCCAGAGACCAAGGCACAGCCGCGCCGCCCTCTTCCCGCAGTCACAGCAGGCCGGCTCACTGACCTCGCAGCCCGCCCCGCCATCCAGACCAGGCTCCCTGCCCCCTGCAGCCAGTCCCCCCTGCCCTCGGAAGGCGCCCAACCCACGTGCCCCCTGCGGCTCCACGATGCCTCCCGGGCCCTCCCTGGCCTCCAGCCCCCAGCCCGCCAGCCCCGCCCGCCCCTTCTCTCGCCTGGCGC